GGGAGAGAGAGAGAGTGTGTGTGCGAGAGAGAGAGAGAGAGAGAGAGAGAGAGAGAGTGTGCGAGAGAGAGAGAGAGTGTGCGAGAGAGAGAGAGAAAGAGAGAGACTGTGAGAGAAAGAGAAAGAGAGAGAGAGAGAGAGAGAGAGAGAGAGAGATAGAGAGAGTGTGTGTGTGTGAGTGAGAGAGAGATGAAGAGAGAGTGATGGGGAACGAGAGATCTGGAGAGAGAGAACTGGAGAGAGAGAACTGGAGAGAGAGAGCGAGAGAATTTCGTTATGTAGAAAAAACCTGTTTCATTCCCGGGTTGTATTCACTTCAATTTAATTATGTTGTGTTCTTTAATAAGTGGAATCAGTAACTCGTGTATATACATATCATCATGGTAGGTTAGTGACCGTTAGTCCAACCGTACAAAGTGCGTCTTTATGAAAAAAATGCACTTTATTCCGCGTGTGCACTCATTTATTTTATATTACTTATTTATATCCGTTTTAATTGAATATTAAAAAGACATGGCTGGCTTTCACATAGTTTTGGGAAAAGTATAAAAAAAGGAAAAAAGTATTTGAAATCCCAATTGTATAACTCATAGTATAATCAGTCGCGAACAAGTATATATAGCCGTAAACAGGTGGCTATTTCTAGTACAGATATTTATGGAAAATTTTATTAAATTTCTATGTGTCCTCTTTTCTATTATTTGGCAGTAAAATTCCAGAGAAACCATGCAAATAAGTATAATCATGCGTGTGTGTGCGTGCATGTGTGCGCGTGCGTGGGTGAATGCGTGTGTGTGCGTGTGTGTGTGTGCGTGCGTGCGCGCGCGTGGGTGAATGCTTGGGTGGGCGCGCGCGTTCTCGGTCGAATATGATATGCACATTTACTCACAATAAAAGCTCCTTTTTATGAAAACCCCGCGTGATTATTCCACGCGAACGCCCCCACTGTTCTACCTATATATACGTTACGGCTAACTAATAACAAACGAGACACCACCTAAGCTTCGCAACCATATCAGGAGTGAATAATATATCTATAATCTATAATCTATAATAGATCTATTATTATTCACTGCTGACCATATGATACAGCAGCTATAGTGAGTTTGTAAATGCTGACGAGATGCTGGAAAACGACAGGTGCGAGTGCGGGTGCGACAACAAAGACATGCAGACTAGTGGCGTGGTTGCTGTGTAGTGCACCACCTGCCTGGTATATAGCTCTAGAACTGTGGCAGAGCGCCTGTGGCAGAGCGAAGGGTTGTACGTAGTTCTAGAGCTACACAGAGCTATACGTAGCCTGATATAGATACGTAGTCTGGTATAGCTACGTAGCTTGGTATAGCACGTAGTCTGGTATAGCACGTAGCCTGGTATAGCACGCAGCCTAGTATAGCTACGTATACTGGTTATAGCACGCTTTATTCGTCGGTGCGTAGTCGGAACCAAGGCGTAAATGACTACCTAGTATTCTGGCCCTTTAATGTTTAACGAGACCCTGGGTCATTGACGGTGTGGTGTGAGAGAGAGAGAGAGAGACAGAGAGAAAGAGACAGATATATATATATATATATATTGAGAGAGAGAGAGAGAGAGGGAGAGAGCGAGAGCGAGAGAGAGAGCATCGAGAGAGAGATGAGAGAAGAAAGAGAAAGAGAGAGAGATGAGAGAGAGAGAGAAGAGAGAGAGAAGAGAGAGAGAGAGCGCACAGCCAGACCACTCAGCCGGTAAGTTAATTGCATCCTATACCCGAACTAATATACTAATGATATAGGTGTAAGGGCGGAATGTACCGAGCACTGGTCATTAATCGTCTTTGCCCGCCTGGGTCGCCCGCCTGCCTGTTTAAGTAAGCGACCAGTGGGAGGAGAGAGAAGAGGGGAGATTACGAGAGCAGAGAGAGAGAGAGAGAGAGAGAGAAGCAGAGAGCAGAGTGTGAGATGAGAGAGAGAGAAGAGAGAGAGAGAGACGAGAGAGAGAAGAGAGAGGCCTCGTTGTGCGCAGTACGGAACTCAACCAGCTCTCTCTCTCTCATCTCTCTCTCTCTCGCAGCGGACCCCCGCCCATCTCTGCCTCATTCTCTCTCTCCGCTCTCTCTCGCTCTCTCTCTATATCTAGCTCTCTCTCTCTCTCTTTCCTCTCTCCATCCTCTCTCCCTCTCTCTCTTTTCCCCTCTCTCTTCTCCATCTTCTCCCCCTCTCTCTCTATCTTCCTTTTCCTCATCTGTTTCTCGGCGCCTCTCTCTCTCCTCTGGCTCTCACTTAGCTCTCTCTCTCTCTCTTATCTCTCTATTTTCATCGTCATCTCGTCTCTTCTCTGTGTGTGTCTCACTCTCGCCTTCTCTCCGTCCTCACCTATCTCTCTCTCTCTCTTCCTCTCAATCTCTCTCTACTCTCTCCTGCTCCTCCTCCTCTCTCATCCTCTCTCTCTAAGTATCTTTTCTCTATTTCTCTCGCAGCGACCCACCTACTTACATATTAATGACCGTTGACCCTTATGCAACCGATTGGGCCGATATCGATTTCGGGTGAGGTAACCAGCAAGACCGTCGGCCGCGTTGTCGGCTGTGATGGCGGCGGACCGAAGACGGTTGGCTGTTCTAATAGGGCGGGAGGGAGGGGAGGGGGCTAGTTGCGTAGGACGCTTTCTGATAGCTTACAGCGAGGCTGCTTGTATTTTGAATTCTGCGTCGTTGCGAGTGGGTGGGAGGTGGTGGTGTGTCGACGGCGCCCTGTAGATGTATATCATATACATATATATATATATATATATATATATACTATATATATTACTATTATAATAGATTAGTTATCTAATTATCTATTGGTTTATTATCTAATCTAATAAATCTATGATAAAATCTATTATTATTTAACCGTCCGGTATATATCGTATTGTCATCTATTACCCACCCTGATATGTGATGATATAAATGATATATGACATATTTGTATAATAATCATAAATGATAATGTATAATAATGATGATTTGTCATTAATCTACCCCTGATAAGTACTATATAATGTATGTATAGTGACATCCGCGTGTTTTTGTCATCGGTGGCTCAATCTTTGTACAAGACGCGACGCAGTAAATCGATTCATCCTCATCCATCCTAACGTTATATACCTACCTACCTGTAGCTGAGTAGCTCACCCCTGTTGTTCTTACTACATACACACCTGCTTGCTTACTCGCTTCCCCCTCTCTCTTCTCTCTCTCTTCTCTCTCCTCTCCCTCGCTTTATCTCTCACTGCTCTCTCTCCTCGCCTTCTTTCTCCCTCTCCTCTTTTCCATCTATATTATTCGTTTTTTGCCACAACGTGATTTCCAGTTACCCGCCGTTCTGCTCAGGCGTACCATTGTTCTTACCTGGCTGTCAGGGCGTAACCCGCAGCCGCGTATACGTAACGTCACCGACCGGTTGCACATTCTGTATAGACTTATATATTAGGTGGAATATTATACTATATATATATATACTCATATCACGTAAAGCCAGTCTATACGGGCAGGTGCCAGGTTAAGCCGCTGGTAGGTACAGTGCTTGGCCAGGTGATTTGCGTTTGACTGACAGAGATTCTTGTACATTAAACCCACAGTGGCTCACAATCGTCCGTGCTCTGTATCCTTTGGTAACGACCACGTAAAGAGTGCGAAACCATTGTCAGTGCTCATAAACTGGGCATAGACATGCAGTGCGATGTGATTCACCATAATTAGGGTATCATGCGTGATATAGTTTGTTTTTATCACCGGGCGCCGGGCGAGCTTGAGTGTGCGCGTACTTTCGAACTGGTTTCCATACGTATTATATATGTATGAAATCAAGAGCTAATAATAGCTATTATCTATTAGGTATTATTAGCTCTTGGTGAAATATTTATAGGTGCAAACCCAGCATGATTGAATCTCTATATACGTAAGCTAGGTGTGCTTTAGATACGAGTTTACGGGTAGCTATAGCTTAATTTAGCACCTTCCAAAATTCCACACGTATGATCATATATACGTGCTCTCAGACATATGCCAATTTTACTGGATAAAAGTAGCTCGATCAACTCTTTTTCTCTTTTTTTCTCAACTTATTTTGGGCAAGCAGGTAGGTACCGTGTGCATTGTGCCATGTTATAAACACACTTTTAGCTAGCAAGTCTGCGATGCGGTGCTGTACATACTTGAGCAGACGTCAGTCTCTCTTAGTTCCTTCTCCCCTCGTGGAGAATAGGGCTGCATGGAGAGCAGACGTGAGTGGTATGCAAATAATCCTTGAGTAAAAGTAGCCAAGTAGGTAACTTGATCGGTACAAATTTCAATCGACAAAATCTCTGAAATCTTACACATTTCACAATTCACAAAAAACATTCCACATATAACCTCACTGTTATTTACTATACATGCATCACGTGTGCAGCAATTATTTTGCTGCATTAGATGATTAAATTAGTTGTTGTTTTAATTTGTCTGAACGCACCGATGTAACGTCTTGCGCATTGAACATTTTATTTTATTTTTTTTAAATCATGGTCGCGTCATTAGTAACGCGCTATTTAGGTTATACGTTCGCTATCATCTGTTCCTGTATATACTATAGGTATATGACTATCAATGGCGCCCGCAGATAGAAGCACTGGAAGCACATTGCTTCCAGTAAATTTTGGGTTAAACAATTTTGTTCCTACATTTTGTTCCTAAATCTCTCTCGGAAGACTCACCAGATTGCATCTCCAGACGTCTACCATTCCAAAATTTTCAGTGGGGGGGGGGGGCATGCCCCCAGACCCCCCTAGCATGCAGCGCGCCTACGGCGCATGCTTTTTATTATCACTGAGGATTTTATCCTTCTGTGCTTCTACTTTCTTAAGTCCCGTGGGCGCCAGTGATAGGTATAAATATATTAAGAGTTAATAATACTACCAGGAGTGCATAATAATATATTTATATTATAGATTATATTAAAGATTAACTATTTAACTATTAGCTATTTAATTATTCACTCCTGATTAGCTCTTGTAAGTATGTCTGGCTGTGATGGTGACTCATGTTGTAGCTGGGACGGCGCTCAATGAGTCATATACGTACGGCAGTTCCCAGCCTACCGTTAATAATTAACTTCATGGTCGTAAATTAGCATGTGACGTCACTCACGTTCGTTGCTATCATCATAGTTGTAATCAGCGCAGCACGCGTTCCCGCGAACAGGTGTTCCTGCCGTGACCACTCACCTGTAGTCCGTACCTGGTCATTACCTATAGCCTTTACCTGGTATTTACCTACTAGCCGTGTGTCATATATGTAACTGGCGTGTGTTCTATATTTAATAATGAGATCCCAGGGGGGCCATTGTTAGAGGCATCCTATATATATATATATATATATATATATATATATATATATA